TTTGGACTGGAAGCATCCGTCGTTCAGATGGCGGCCGTAGATTTAGTTTGCGTGACGTTCGTCTCATATGAGCCCCTCGTTTCGCCTAGATCTCATCGGATCACAGGACACCATACAAAGAATGAGTTGAGTTATTCAGACGATAATATATCCATTCAAAATAAACAACTTGTCTCAACTAATTACGTGAACTGAACCTTCCCCATCAATGCCTCACAACTTGCTCTTCCCAGCACAACACGCCCCCGCCTCCCCCTCAAACGCAAGCTTGCTCACCTGGTCCGTCGCATCCACCACCCCCTCCCGCCCCTTCGCAACCTGGCTCGGCGTGCTGCAGTAACTCGGCGGCACATCCATCACGGGGTTATTCGCGAAGAAGTTGCGCGGCCGCAGCAGCAACGTGATCGGCTCCACGGGCATGATGGGGAAATCCTCGGGCGCGGGGATGTGCGTCACGCCGAACGTGTGCCAGAACACCACGTCCTCCTGCTCCACGCTCTCGCTGCCGTCGCCGACCCACTCCGGGATGCCGCGCGACGGCTCGCCCGAGGTCTGCGGCACGTGCCGGCCCGCCGGCCACAGCTCGTCGTCGCGGTACTTGGTCACCATCACCGCGTGCCGCGCGAAGCCCGCGCGCTTCCAGACCAGGGAGCCCTCTTTCGGCAGCAGCCCGGGCACTTCGCGCGAGACGAGCTTGTAGGAGGCGGGTTTGCCGGAGTACGGGTGGAGTTTGTCCGTGTTGGCAATCTCCCAGGTGCGGGAGGTGGCGCCGTTGTAGTCGGTGAGGGATTCGCCTGTCGTGGCGAGCTTGGTGCGCCGCGCGGAGAAGGCGTTGCCGTAGAAGTTCTCGGGCGAGCCGACGGGCGCGTCGGAGGGGACGGCGTCGACCATGAAGACAGTATTCCGCGGGCCGTCGACGTTGGGGTCGATGCGCAGGCAGAAGAGGTGCTGGTGGTTGTGCGCGTTGACGCCGGGGTACACCTGCGTGCCCCAGCCCTTTGTGTCCTCGCCGGGGTTCATGGCGTACGTGTTGAGGATGCCAGTGAGCTTGATCTCGGGCTGGATGGTGCCGTCCTGGTGGAAGATCCACTGGACGGCGTACTCGTAGTTTGCGGCGGTGAAGATCTGCTGGATGACGAGCTTGCGGCCGCGGGTGACGATGACGGAGTCGTCGCGGAAGTCGGTGTGCTTGAAGAGGATGCCCGAGTCCTCCTCGTGGATGCAGATGGCGTTCTTGATGGTGCGGACGGCGCCGTTGCGGGTGGGGAACTCGGCGTCGAGGTAGTGGATGGCGCCCTTGCAGTCGCAGCCGAGGGCGAGGGAGTTTGTCATGTAGCCGGCGCCGTACTCGCCGAGGTCGAAGGCGTGCTTGCGCTGGTGGGGGTGCTCGGGGTTGCCGTAGGGGACGACCATCTCGGCGAGGGAGAGGCGGTAGAAGATGGGGCGGACGGTGCCCTTGTCGTTGTAGGTGATGTTGCTCAGCACGATGCCCTCGCGGTAGTTGAAGCCGATGTGGAAGTTCCAGTTCTGCCAGGATATCTCGCGGCCGGCCATGGCGAAGGAGACGCCCTGCGGCTGGGTGATGTTGATGGGCTTGAGGTCGGTGCGGTAGCCGCCCTGCTTCTGGACGGCGGCCGGGGTGTAGTCGATGGGGGCGACCTTGCTGAGGGGCCGGCGGACATTGGGGACGTCGATGGCGATGATGGATTGCTTGTCGGCGTCGTAGATGGGGCAGAAGTCGAGCGGGTACTGGTACTGGCAGGTGTCCGGGTCGGGGCGGTAGTACATGAGGGCCTGCTGGAGGCGGACGGTGTTGCCGTGGCGCTCGTCGTAGCCGATGGTCCAGGGGTCGCAGTAGACCTTGTGCATCTCGTGGCGGGGGACGCCGGAGAGGACGCACTGCTCGATGACGCGCTCGTCGGTGCGGCAGATGTGTTCGACGATCTGGAGCTCTTCCATTGTGATCTGGGGTTGGGGGTGTTAGTTGCGGTGCGGGTGAGATGGTTGGGTGGTGATACTACTCACGATTGGTTGGACGCCCTCCATGAGCTCCCATTTTGTGATTGCGCCCGAGGCGATGTCGACGAGGCCGTCGTAGACCTTGCCGCCCTTTGCGATCACGACGACGTCTGCGATGCGGGCTGGGCGCGGGGCGGTGGTCGGCGAGGCGAGGAAGGCGGTCATCTCGGCCTTGCGGGGCTCGTGGAGGGAGACGACGTTGAAGAAGACCTCGCCATGCGCCGCGGTGACGGCGGCGATGGCCTTCTCGATCTCCGCGGCGGAGAGCGGGTCGAGAGGGTGCGGAGGAGCCATGGTTGAGGTATGCGTGTGTTTGCGTGTGTGTCAATTAGGTGAGGGGGAGGGGAATTGACACGAGGGAGTGAAGGACCATGAGAATCCAAAAGCGAGTGAAGGGTTGGAGAGAGCTCTAGATAAAGCTTATATCTGGGGGAGCTACACCAGCAACGAGACTGAGGCCCCCTCACCGGGGAGCCGGGGTGATGGCGGCTTCGTCCCGCCACGGACAGCCGGATCTGGCAATTCCAACATCTGATACTCTCGGGACGTGGACGGGAGGCTCGTCATGCCAATCCAATGACCAAAAGGCGTTGTAAGCCGAAGAGAAACGATAAGGTCATTGGGGAGAGGCAGGGTGGAGATTCCTGGTGTATGATAAGAGCTCTCCGCAGAGCGAACTTGGGGATTCCCAGCTGGAGGGCCAGGTCTCATTCGACTCTCCAGATAGGGATCGTCTCATACACGACGTGCACTAGCTATGACCTAGCCAATTGGCCCGTCTCTCTGGGCAAAGGGGGAACCAGGGACCTTCAGGCTAGCCCAAGCGACCACACGGGGAGTACAGGCTGAGGAAAAACCTCGAATTGGCTGATTGGCAAAGAAGGCGGGCGGGGGGGAAAGACGAGACGAGAGGCTCGATGGGGAAGGGCGACACGATAAGCTCCCGGGTATCTTTATCTTATCGCACTGGTTGGTGTGTTGCTTTGAGGTAAACGGTGAATGGCAGGGCGCATCCACCGCCGGGACCGGAGCGCGCGGTCTGCTGGCGGGCCTTCGGCATCTTGGGTGGGGTTCCTTGCTCGGGACAAGGATCGGGACCGGTCTCGCTGCTAAAAGGCGTCGGGTAAAATTAGCTAATTGGGTTTGGCGTGGATTGAAGTGCGCGCTTGGTGGTCGAAGCCGTTACCTAACGCTGGGTGTCTGATAGGAGATGGGACACACGTATTTGCCTTTTAGCAGCTGCAGAACACGGCAGATAGCCAAAAACGGACGGAAATGAGGTTCTGAAATGACTGTGCATGAGGCTTTCGTGGTGTTGAGTAATGGCCTCGACACATCTTGGGCATTCTCGTGTCTTTTGGAGAGTACCGGCCAATGATTGATCGTGATTTGCAATGAGAGGGTTGCTTTAACGCCGATGTGTTTCGGCGTTAAGAATCACAGAGATGACATCAGCAAAAAATCTGCCTCTGTTCGGTGACCTTCTCTCTACGCGCCTAAACAGCATCAGCCACACCGTCCGACCTCCGAAGTGACCGCCCTTAGATCCCTGCCATCAGCCTTGATAAACGCCGGCTGTTGTTTGTGAGGCCAACCTGTTGGCCCAATATCGCGACCAACTGTGGCTGAAGTGCCAGCTTGACTCACTCAAGGGATGAAGAGTCACTGAGGTCGCCGCCATTTCATATCACAACATAAACTGAGAGATCTCAGCCGGCCTTGATCAATATAGCTTCAAAACGCAACTGCTTCAAACTGTCAGTAGTTGTCTGGATTAGACTGGCAGTCACAACTAACCGAATCCTGATTGAGCCTACCCCAAAACCCCAACTGGAGGCTGCAAGAGACCTTCACCCCTCACTCACCATGGCAAAATCAGCTCTCTCATTCGCGACGGCCTTACCGCAGTCTTCCCGCTCCGAGGTTCTTGAATGGCACTTCCCCAAGCCGTATCAGTACACCTTAATCGGCAAGTCCCGGGCAGCATGGCACACAAGCTTCGTCATCCCGCAACTCAACCTCCTCCTGGACGCAGGCCTCGTCGTCAACGATCTAAGACCAAAACACATCGTCCTCACCCACACACATAGCGACCACTGCGTTCGTCTCCCCGAGATAATCTCACACAGAACCTATTTGCTAACTACCACGCCAGCTCCTCGCACCAGCCTTCACAAAACGCGAAGACCCCCCAGACATCATCCTTCCCGCCGAGTGCAGGAAACTCTTCGACGACTACGTCCTCGCCAAAACGCTCCTCAACCGCGGGGGCACCTACACCGGCGCCGACGCCGAGTCCCTCGGCCTCAAAGTCGACGGCCAGGGCATCGACGCCGACGGCAGGACAGAAGGCGAGCGCGCCTTCCTCGGCACGCACAACACCATCCCCGTCATGCCCGGCGACACCCTGCCCCTGCGCAAGGTCAAGAACATGACCGTCTCCGTCTTCAAGTGCGACCACAACGTGCCGAGCGTCGGCTACCTCTTCTCCACGACCAACCACAAGCTCAAGCCCGAGTACACGTCCCTGCCGGGCCCCGAGATCAAGAAGCTGCGGCAGTCGGGCGTGGAGATCACGGCGCCCGTGACGACGCCGGTGTTTGCGTTTCTGGGTGACGGGACGGCGACGACGCTGGCTGCGGAGCCGGAGTGGCTGCGGCAGGAGGTCGCGGTGGTGATTACGGAGTGCAGTTTTCTGTACGATAAGCATGATGCGCAGGCGGAGAAGACTAAGCATACGAAGTGGAAGGATTTGGAGAAGGTGGTGAGGAAGTGGCCGAAGACGACGTTTATACTGATCCATTTCAGTATGAGGTATAGTAATAAGGATATTGTGGAGTTCTTTAATGGGTTGGAGGATCCGCCGGCGAATATTGTGGTTTGGGCTGATGGAGAGCCAGAGTAACTCTAGAGACTGCTTTAGAAACAACAAGAGCTAAAACATATCATGAGAAATGACTGCCTGTGCTGGAAACACAACAATGCAGTTTAGGCATGTCTTCATGATCGCCATCATCTCTCAGTTCTCCGCCCCGCTTATGGACACCCCAATCACCATTGCCCGATCAAATGCGTATTCGTAGGAGGGTACCAAAGGCTCCAAACAGTGTGCATGCCTTTTGCCAGGGTAAATCATTGGTTGGTAGCCGAGTCTGGGCCGGCACCCATGCAGGTGAGACGAACAAGGCAGCAAATCAGGTCAAGCCAACGCAACAGCGGCGTGCGCATTTGCGTCAAGTTGATTTTACAGCTGACGCCGACGGTAGTTCGGGACTCGTTTTTAGGACCGAGTTGGCGGAGTCAGTCCTGAATCACCTCCATCGTTTCCAGTCCGACCACTTCGGACACCAGCTGGCGTCAGACTTCATGGTGAAAACTCGCTCCATGTCAACATCGCAGTCGGAAGACCTCTCGGAATCGGCCCTCCACGAATCGCAAGAAGAAAAGTCTGGAGCTGTTGAGCCCGGCCTCGATGATCCATTGCACAATTACTATGGCATTGGTTGCGGTTATGAACAGGAACTCGATGATCTCTCCGAAATCATTGACGTTGAGGCCGGGCTCGATGCTTCACTAAACCTTTACGAATGCACCTGGAATCGAGATCCCGGAATTGCCTTTGATATGATAAAACCTTCGGTATCAGCGGACTCTGGCTACGTAGACGGTCAGGAAGATGATCAGGAGGATGACCAGAAAGATGAACAGGAAGATGACCAGGAAGATGACCAGGAAGATGACCAGGAAGATGGCCAGGAGGATGGCCTGGCAGAATATGCAGACGTGATGGACACCCGCGGTACGCACAGTTGCCTTTTTCAGAATCACGCAAGAACCGACAAAACTAATATCGAGACCATGTAGGTTGGGAGGCATGCATGTGCGAGTCTATCCGCGTGACCGAAGCAACGTTCACGGAAGCTAGAGATACCAACGAGATTATGGACGAGACGTTATCCATTCCAGGAGGATTGGTGGACCAAGATGGCCGGGTTTCATGCTTCAAGGGCACAGAAACTCCCGCCTCCCAGTCGTCTTCGGCTTCCGCCATCACACAAGTGTCAGGCACAACGGATTCGGACATAGCAGCAGATATGATGTCCACTGTTGGTGCTCAAGATATCTACGACAAGGTGTTGGACTTTTTCAGCCGCTTCATTGAGTTCAAACTTCGCATCACCGGAACTCAGCAGCGTGGGGGGCCCTCTTCGAAAGGGAATCCTCGGGTCCAGCGAAGATTAACCGGGATTGAAGGAGAATCACAGCATCAAACTGCGAAAGGCAAGGGGAAGCGAGTCTTCCAGGAAGACGATAATTTTGATGATCCTGGCGAAGCCCCGGACGATGAGCATCCCGAGGCCAAACGAAGAAAGACCGAGAAGCTGAAGATTGCGTGTCCGTACACGAAGCGGTATCCTACGGAGTTTTGTTCGTGGAGAACCTGCGTGGGCCCTGGGTTCGACGGAATGAATCGAATGAAGTATGTGTTTGATAAAACAGTCTAGGTCTGCTTATGTCACTGACATCATCGTTTTCATTAGGGAGCACCTTAGGCGAAAACATTTCAAAGAGAACGGCTGCCACCGCTGTGGGTTATATCTTGAGTCTAACCAGGCGCTCCAAGACCACCTAAGATCACTTGATATTTGTCCTGTCAAAGTGATCCTACCGCAAATGGGTTTCATGACTCAGATTCAATCGGAAGAGATCGGCAAGAAGCGCCAGGTTCATACAGTACCGCTTCTACAGCGCTGGAAGGAAATCTATCTTATTCTTTTTCCCGATGCCGATGAGGATACAATACCCGGCCCCTGTGAGTACACAACCCCCCAGCACTGCTAAAAATGCTGACAATGATGTAAAATCTCCAGACTTCGAGGCTACCGAGACTTCCGATGGTCTGTCAAACATCTTCGATCCGCAGGAATATGAGAGCTTCTTGAAGCGGCAACTGCCGGCACGCATTCTCATGAACCTGAATCGCGAATTCCAGATCATCTCTGATCGCGCCAAAGCGAAGCTTGCAGAAATGTTGCAAGAGGAGTCGTTGGAGGTCCTCAAGGCCTACGTCCTTCAGAAAGGCGGCAGCTCATCCCAGACACTGCAGACAGACTCTTCAGGATCAGAGCTATTGGATCCAGGGGCAATTGACAACGGTCTCTTTGACAATATTGAAGCACTGGGAGGTGAGGGGCAAGATGCGTTCGACTTTTCATTCTTGGAGGCATTTTGCCAGCAAGCGGACAAGGAAGGGTCTGAGCAAACAGACTCCGGACATGGATCATCAGTCATGTAGTATTTGCGGATGTTGCGATCGGAAAGCTAAGGTGCAATTTCAATGGGCGAGTAAATACGTTAGTCTGAAAGAAAAAACGTCAGAATCAAGAGAACGATCAAGAAAAGTTAATCTAGTAGGATGTCACTTTTTTGCCTCTTATGGGATCCCAAGACCGACCAAGACCACCACTAATGTAACGGAGGTCTTCGGGTCAAACGAGAAACGAAGTTGTGAAAATGTGCCATTCGTAGCCTGTCAGTTTTGGTGAATGGCCTGTAATGGATGCACGGCGGTGTGCTGGGCAGTGAACGGGCATGGGTTGGCGACAGAGAGCTAGCACCGTGCAATGATATTGCTTGACAGCCAATAATAAGGTATGTGCATGGCAACCACAATCGTTACTCGCGCATTTGCGTCAATTGATAACAGCGCAGGTATGATTCATCTTGCAGAGCTCACAATGAAGCAACAAGTGCTTTAAATATCCCGCCTTGTCCCGCAAAGTGACCGTGTTTCCAACGATCAGTCCTAGAGGTCATCTCTGCCAGGCAGACCCGATAACGGCGACTTGCTGCAGACAAATTACAACAGAGGCCATATCAGATCCAAAAGGGTTCAATCACCTTCAGCACGGATGTGGCCAGGTACCCGTATACAAAAGCTCCCGCAACGTACGCATCCAAGAATGGCGGTAAAGGGTGCGACGCAGAGCATCCTTCCTGAATCGGACGTAGGGATCATTCCACGAATCATCCCCAGTATTGAAGGTTCAGATCATACTTTTTCAAACACAAAGATTTCTGATGCAAGGCCTTCTGTGAGAGAAGTACTTGAAAAGGTCTCTCGACATGAGCTTAGCATCAGAAAAGCTCATCGAACCATTGCGCGTCTGTGGAAAAGTTCGCATATGCAGATTCTCGGCAGTGATGACCCAGGGTCTTTGGCCGGAACTTCCAGGTTTAAAGATCAGGGTGTTCAAACCGAACCCAGGAGATCACTTCATGCTTTGCGGGACCCTATTGCGAAAACCGACTGGTCTATCAATTCGAAATCTACCGACGATTCAGGGTACCTGTCTAGGAGTGGACCGATTGACTCTCGGAATGAGGACCCAAGCTCAGATCTCGAGCCCGAGATTGACCAAGAATTCGGGCAACGTCATCTGCACCCGGCCATCACCAACACAGAAAATACTTATGCTGGCACTCATCGACTCCAAGCCTGGGGGCATGGAAGCAATATCAACGTAAAGCAGCTGTCACCCTCGAGGATTGATGATGAAAATCAATCCCGGTCATCGCGTTCCTCATCTGAGAACTTTTCAAATAGTAGCAAGGAACAGGACATCGATTCAACTCCCTGCACGCACCCGACTGTGGGGACCGAATCCCCTTCCGATGAATCAACACCCGCGTCGTCTGACAACTCCGAGGCCACCCTAACGAAGGCGATACTTGCGAATTGCGCAACCGAACAAATCGCCAGCGACGTGACTAGGAACTTCATGGAAATCGTGCGATCAAAATTCGGCCTTCGACAAAGGGGACCTACCTCGTCTCAGGAACAAAGACAGTCCTCTGCGCATGCTTCCCGGCCTTCTCAGGACATCCGCAGGGAGGCTCCTCAGAGGGGGCGCCAGCGTCTCAGTAATGACCGCAAGAGATCTCGGCAATCAAATGGCGAGGACGAGGATTCTGATAGAGCCCCGAATGACAAGACCCCTGAATCAAAGCGCCGGAAGATTGCAGAAGCCGGAAAGCCGAAAATAGCCTGTCCATTCATGAAGCGCTCTCCCACCGAGTTCTCGGACGTCTCAAAATGGAGGACGTGTATCGGCCCGGGGTTTGACGGGATGAACAGGATGAAGTATGTCCGTTGGACTCGATGTTTTGATCGCACGTCACTAATTCAGGCGGATGTCAGAGAGCATCTCAAACGCAGGCATTTTAAGGACTGCACTTGCCAAAGGTGTGGTGTGCAATTCAGCTCCAACGATACATTACAAGACCATCTCAGAGCCCTAGAACCATGTAAACTTGCACACGCTCAACTTGAAAAAGGGTTGCTCACATCAGTTCAATGGGCTCATATCCAAGCAAAGAGAGGTCGGTCGGCGTTCTGTAGAAGAGCGATGGAAAGAGATCTACCTGATAATCTTCCCCAAAGCTCAGGGAGAATCAATACCCAGCCCGTGTAAGAAACCATCGCGTTAGGTCAAATCCTCGGACCCACTAACGTGCTCACAGATTTCGAGGCTTTTGAGGTTTCCAACAACGTGACAGCTCAATTGAATTCGGAAGAGTTCGACGTGTATCTCAAAACACACCTGCCCTCGCGAGTTCTGGTACGGTTGAAGGAAGAGTTGAATGTGTTCTCTGAGATGGTGCAGCAAAAGCTGGCGACAATAGTACAAGAGGAGTCGACTGAAACATTGAAAGCTTACATGCGCCAGAGAGGGAGTGACCAGCTCGGAAGCTCCGATTCCCCAGATGTGGCACCTATGGAGACTGGAATGAACGACTTCAGCGTCGACGAAATGTTGAAGATGTTTAGTGGAGGAGAGACATTTGACTTCGAATTACCGACAAGTTGGAAGGAGTGGCAATTTGATATCAATTGAAGCAGCGCATTCAGGCACTTTGTATTTGTAGCCTAAGAAAGCTGAATCAAACGGGCACTGGAAACCTAGCGCACTTCAAGGTAATACATGAAATCAAGCTCAGTGGAGAATCTTCCAGATGAAATTCTAAGTTGTACCTTTGTGCAATTGAGAAGTGATCTCACCGACAGCAGGTCCATCCTCGAACCGGGGATGAATTCTTCAAATATACTCAGGCACTAGGGAATCTCTCAAAAAAGCTTTGTCTTATCAAACTGTCTCAAACCAACATTAAAGGAGTGTGAATGTTGATTTACCGCAAGCTGCATAATCAACTCTTCAGCTGTGAACCCGAAACATGTTCGATGGCTTGAATGTGCATATTCTATAATTAGGATTAAACAACTAACCCCATCCGCGACAGAACCCCGTTAGAACTGTGGCAATTATTCAAGCTGTCCACAAGCCTGGCCCAGTGGGTCAAGAGGCTGGCGCGCAACATCGCCATGGCGCAGAGATACCACACTAGTCGTGGTCGCAATGTGTTTGTCGTATGTCGTTCAGTGAGGTCGTCGGTAGAAGAAGAGTCGGGCTGAGTATGTAGGTCGCCGGCCTCTGGGTATATCCGTCCATGAATCGTGGTGCAAATAATGTCGTAGAATGTGAAGAAATTTCCAACCCGTCAACGTCGTCCTACACTATCCGAGTCCCCTTGCACCTTGAGCCGTCCTAAACGGTAGGCTCTTCCGAAATCCGCGATGGTTTCCACTGGCCGCGCCGCCTTAAGGCATGATTCCGGCGAATATCGTCGCGCCGACCATAGCGGCCAGCAAACCGAACTTGTAGTCCGATTGACGGCCGGCGGCGTTGACAGGGGACGCAGTTGAGATCGGGCTGACTGTGGCGGGCGGATTCCATGGGTTTCCTCCTCCACCTTGCGTCGCTGAGGCAGACGAGCCTCCAGCACCACCAGAGCCGGATGCGCTTGCGGTCGCAGTTGCCAACGTAGATCCAATGCCAGAGGGAGAGGACATCGCCGAAACGAACGAGCCAGAGACGGTTTGGCCGCCTGCACCTGCACCGGCGCAACCACAAACTAATTGGGTGTTAGTATTGCCGTAGCATGGAATTGAGATTGATATTGGTAAGGCCCATAGTGGACCACGACACGGACAAGGTGTTTGATTCGGATGCGAAAGGAAGAGCGTGACTTACCCGACGAAGCACCGTTGATAACAGCCTGGAATGACGCGGCAGGACAACCCGTCGCGACACAAGGCTCAATGGCAGCATACAACGCCGCCTCCTTCCCACATTGACATCCAAAGTCGAGGCTATCGCAGCCAACGTACGACGCGCCCTCGAGGAAACAACTCTGCGCGCAAGAAGGAATCTCGGTGACGGCAACGCTCGCGCAGTTCTCCGCCGCGGCCGCACCGCTCGCCAGCAACACCACGCCGGCAACAATTCCAACAATATACTTCATGATTGGCGTCTTTCTTCTTTTCTATCCCAAGAAGAGATGGTTAAGCGATTGTGATAGAGACTGAATTGGGAGATGGTGAAACGAGAAACGCTTCAAGGGGTCGTTGTGAGCATGAAGATGCAGCGTCCAATTCGTTCTGGGAGGAGACGGGGGGAGCTGGGTGCATGCAGGAGGTGAAAAGTTGACAAGCTTTCTCTTCGAATGGACAGAAACCCCACGTAGAGAGAGGGTAGGAGTGGGAACGGGGAAGTCAAGGGTAGTCACGTTATTTTGTTTGCTTGGGTCGTTGCTTGGAAATGACTAGAGCTTGGGGTCATTAGAGATCGCCCGCTCTCTCAGCTGCTCCTCGCAGCAGCCCAACACCTAGCTTCCTCGGGAGCTATCTCTCTCTCCTCTGGTAAAGTCGCTTTCACATGTGGTTTTGCCCGACGGCTCTTCGGCATGAGGTCATGCTAACATTGGGAATATCATCACTAATACGACGCGGGTGGAGGGATGTCACCCACACCACCCACACACATCCAAAATTTGGCCGACGATTGTGTCCCTCGCCCAGCCATCTTGGCCGTTGCCCACTTTCCCCCGCAGTTACCCCGGCCAGCTGGGGTCGGGGTTGCCTTCCGATACGGGGCAAGACGCGGGGGAAGCGACAGGGGTGGCCGTGGACGGTGTGGTGCTGATCTCTGGACCTGGCGCTACCGCAGGTGTTGTTCTCATTAAGCTTTTTGGGCGGGAACGAATCGTTTGTCTGATGTGGGTGTGGGTTGGACGAGCTGTTTGACGGTGCTCATGTCGGGTGAAAGACGCATCGAGCTATTGAGGCCGGGGTTATTGGCGAGTTGGAGGGAACACAACCCTGACGATGTGATTTGTCGTGCAGGTGATAGGATGGCTGAGCCCACATTGAATGGCCCGAGGCTGGGCACAGGCACG